ACCCCAACTTTTCAATTACCTCCAATGGAAAATGTTTTCTTCTGGGCATTTATGTCTTATTTGTTGAGGCATTATCTGTAGCAAGATAATCAATTAAATCAGTTTTGGGGTGAACTGAACTTTGCTCAGATCTTGGCAGTTACTTAACTTCTTTATACCTCCATTTCCTCATGCATGCAATAGGAACAGTTGTAGATCTACCCCCATCCTTCAGGTGAGAGGACTCATTAAGAAAATTCACATGAAGAGCTAAGTGAAGTGGCAAGGACATAATAATCCTACAATAAATATTAGCTGATCCATCACAGTCATCATCATTATCTTCATGTTTTAATCCCACCCTGAATCTACTGGACTTTCAGATGGAGGACAGCTTTTCATAGTAGTCTTCTCATTGCAACAGGAAGATTCATCTCATTTAAAATGAAGATATTAGAGAAAGCAGGCCAGATGAAGTACCATCATCACACTTGAGGTGGTAAGTGCTGGGAAACAAGGTAACCAGGTGTGTCACTGAGAGCCGATTCTAAGAAAGAAAGTCTCCAGATTGATCCAGTTTCCAAATGGAGTTGATGAGGCTACGTTCTTAAGAGTGTGAAAAAAATCAAATAATATTTTTAAATCATCCCAATGCCATAAATTTGAATGTCTCCACATTGTCTCACAGATAAGACTTTTGAGGGGGTTCAAGTTTAACCTTCCAAATGCTGAAAGTCTGAGAAGTTTCCTCGTTTCAGATGGTGACTTTGGGATGATAAAACTGGACAATTAGAAGAAAAAAGGGGGTGTTCCTCAATGCACTATCAGAACATGAAAAGCGTTATTTACTGGATGTACAGAGGGGCATCTTTTTTATCATTCCACAAAATTAAAGCTGAAAAGTTCCATCCAAAAACCCGGCCATGGAAATCCCTAAAAGCCTTCCACCAATCCAGAAGCCAAGGCAAGAAACAGGATTTCAGTCAACTCCTCTGAGCAGCGTCAGGTGGGTAAGGGCCAGTTGCTGTGTAGCTGACGCATAACCATGCATGCACACAGAACCAGCATCATGAAGTTCATTACCTTCTTCACAGCTCTACAGCCTCCCCTGTACAATCGCCTCTTTTGTTTATAGAATCCCACAGAGTGAGTCGGCTTGAAAGGCAAATAAGAAACCATGGGGAATCTTTGCCCAAACCTTGTTTTGTACCCGAAGTTCAAATGTGTTTGGTTAACCTTCTATTTATTTCTTGTCTTTTCATGAGCTGACCTTTCTAGTCCTAGTCTTTGCATGCTGTGCCATGGCAAATGGTGGCTCAATGGGACCCTGGTACCATGTGACAAAGAAACTCTTATGAGCTCTCTATGAATTGTTTCATTCATCAGGTGCATGCACTGGCACTCCCTTTGTATGCCACCAAGCCTGCCATTAAAAGTTGGAAAATGTCAGTCCCAACACACAGGTACTTCCCATCTTCAGACACTGAGGTCAAACATTGGGGGGTGAACTCCAATTTTTGCTTTTCCTCCAATTATTTTCCTGTTGGATGGTCTGAACTGCAATTCAGATTGCTGACCCTGGGAAAGGCAGCTTATTGAATGGGGATCAGGATGTTTATCCTATGTAGCCAGCTAATTGGAAGAGAATTAGGCCATGCATTGAACTAGACCATTAAGTTACCTGACATGAAAGTAACATGGTGACATCACAGACTACGTGACCAGTTTACTAACTTAAACTTCTCCAGGAAGCAGACTAATTGATCATTATTCTGGGGTAGTGTACACATATTCCTGCCAACAAATAGGGAAGTGCTTACAGAGGGCAATACCTCTAAACACTGTGAAACATTAGCCACTTGATGGAAGGGTATAGCAATCGAGCTGAAAACCGGCTAAATTGTTAACCCAGGAGCAAGCATGGTGTCATTGTCTTTCAGGTCTTTTAAGTGCACTGAGAATCTCTGGTAGGAATAAGCAAGAGGCCTGGTTGGGAGTGAAGTGAGAAAGCAACCGTATGAATGGAGACAGGACTTGATTTTCAACAACACGGAAGTCAATCAAAGGAAAGTACCTATGAATTCCCTTAAAAGACCTGCTGGAGGGTATCATGCAGTAACTATGTTACTATAGCTACTTTTTCTTCATCAGTTAGTATTGTTAAAGAGAAGCTTGACTATAGAGTTCTTAACAGCAGCAAAAATAAATTCCCTCCAATTAAGTAGTCTAATAAGCTATTTAGGATTTTACCACTTAACATTCTTTCCTTCCCATTTAATTTCGGCTTTCACTTGGATGTCATCTTGTTGAAAATCCATCACAGAAAACTATGTGGGGAAAAAAAGATAATGTTGCTAAGTGCCCCCGATGTTCAAAAACGAGCAGAAGCACAATATTTTTTCTAAATCACCCCAGGATTTTTCCTAATAATTCAGCTTCTTCCTACTAGAAATTAATATATGAAAATGGTCAATATGCAAATATCACACCAGCTCCTTGCCTTCAGTAAGTGCTATATGCATAAATTTGAAACAATATCATATTCTAAGGTTCTTGATTATAATAATGCCTTGGTGTGCATTTGTGCATGTATAATTATGCTCATTTAATTTAATCATGAAAACATTATAGGATCATTTGGTTTTCTCCTCTAAAAGTTCTTTCACTTTTTTCAATTAATTAATTCCAGTTTGCCCCTTATATAAGTCAGCTGATGATAAGTAATGGTCTTTGAGCTAACAGGAATATGATCACATTCCTATGGAATTATGGGTGGAAAAGAGGCATATGGGAAGGTGATGGCCTCTTATCTTCAGCATACATCCTAATCATGGAACGATAGGGTTTTCGGTAGAACCTGGTCCTAGAAATACTCTTGTTTTATGATCATTTCTTCCTGCAAGTTTCCAGGGTCCCTGAACGGCTGAGAATTTGGCCCCGGGGCAGTCACCTGATTACAGCAGAAGACCTGGAAACCAGCTCATGTGACCCACACATTCCACATGCTTGACTGGAGTGGAGCTTTGGGGACTTTGCAGAATTACTGGAATCACGTGGGATATACGGAGGGGACTGAAGGGGTGGAGGACATTTAACTTAACCGTGCACTAGAAGAACAGATAAAGCCACAGTAAGTGGAATGAAACCGACCATTCTGAATGAAAGGAAAGAAACATGGCATAAAGCCCATTTCATATTATCCTTCCCCCGTCAAGGAAATCTTGTTTTCTTTCCTGCAGAAAAACTATGTTTCTTTTTTCCCAATGTGTTAACAGAGACCAATGAAAAGAAATAGGCTGCTTTGTGCCCATCAATAGAATCTATATAGCATCTTTTCCCCCAGGGATTAATTCAGCTTTTGATTAAATCTTTCTGAGATTTAAATCATGATGTTACAAACCTCCAAGGAACTCCTCTATGAGTTGTGACCTTCTTTATTACTCTCTGCTGTTTGATAAAGTACAAAGATTGATTTATAATGGTGTATAATGTGTTTGAAAACAAGGAATGGCAACAAGAATTGCAAAATGTAAGATTAATATAAAGTAAATACTGCAAAAAAGTACGCTTTGGTTAAAATATTCTATAATTAATGTTGAGTTACAACTGTGTAGCTAGTAACACTAGTGTCAAATGAGTATAATAATGTTGTTAGGGCTGTAAATTATATCCAATGATTAGCTAAATAATCCTACAACAGAGAGAGACCCAGCAATGCTGAAAAGGGATTTTGAATATCACATTGTACAGTTTAGACAGATTTAGTTTAGAGGACTTTTGAATTGAGACAAGCTCCTTTTAAATAAACTATTCATATTCAGTGTTCATTTATTTTTATCAGCCTAATTTTGGTTTCAATAATTATTTTGCCATTAGTATCATCAAGGATGGAAGTGATTTAATGTTTTGAGGACAACATGAAATAAATCCTTTATTTTTAATCAGACTATCCTAGTACCTGGCCAGCAGCTACTACTGTTGCTTCTTCAAATTTCCCCTTTCCTCTCAAAAGGTTTTTAAGGGTAAAAAGTTAACCCTTTAAAAGAAAGACCTGCATTATTCTAATGTCCTTGCTGGGTCCAGCCAGAAGATTAAAAATGTCGTATGCAATTTAAGCATCGATGGAGACAAGTCAGAATCCGAGGGTAATCCAGCAGGCGTGCTCGGTAGCCACAGTTGTAGGTGAGGGCCATATTTGGGTAAGATAACATTAATTTTTATTTTCTGTTTTGATAAAACGACTGGCACATCTTAGAGTCATATAAAAAAGACATAGAACAGTGAGTAGTGTTTCTTGTGTTATGTAGCAGATTCCAATGTACTATTGATAGCTCTATCACATTTCCAGTAATTACAAACCCTTTCTTCTCTAGGAGATGGGGGGCAAGGGCTGGGATATATTTAGCCCCCTTTCCCCAATGCCATGTTTATGGTGGGTCTTGCAATGCAGGTGGCTGGGAGTGGGGACGACCGTCTAAAATCGGGAGAGGGCAGAGCATGCACAAGTGCATTCTCTGTCATCTCTGTCATCAGGACCACCAGTCACCTGCAAGACACAGCAGACAGACATCCTGACAGCAAGCTGTGTCAGCAGCTATCAGCCCGTCCCATATGACTTACATACGATGGGGGCTGCATCCTGTTACAAGTCTTTGCGACATGTTCAGTCCATCTACAGAATTGCTTCCTAAGCTGAATATTCAGCAAGATTCTCACTAGGGGCAATGGCTTGTACTTAAAAATACACATCTTCGGTACAAAAGCAGAGTTAATCCACTTCTTAAAGGCCCACGTCATCTCTCATTATAGAAACCACTTCTACCTTTGCCATTTGAAAGGAGAAAAGGTAAAATACAGAAGGTCTACGTTACCTGAGAGCTGAAATCCGTCCATGAATGTGGAGAAGCAGGGAGAAAGGGAGGGAGATCCAGAGAGGAAACAGAATAATAATAAGTGACTAATGTGCACTGATCTGAGAAACATGCCAGGAGATTGGTTACAATAAATAAGAAAAGCAGAAGTAGATTTGAAACATTCGTTTCCCTTTATTAGCTCAGTGAGGCTGATGTGTACTGCACATTTAAAAAAAAAATCACAGGAATTTTCATACAATGAATAAAACCACAACAATACATGTAGAATTGGCAGGTGGAAAAAAAAAAAAAAGCCCGGCAAGGGCTGAACTAATCGCTCACTTTCCCTCTTCAGCATAGTTCACCCAACAGTGTTACACTTTCACCTACAAATCTTAAAGTAGCTCCATCAAATCAGCAGTTCACATTATTGAAAATGTCTGTCACATAGGTACAAATTTAGAATCATCACATTATATTACATGGCTATTCTAGGTCATCTATAGATCAGGTCTTAGACTACAGTGATTGAAGTTCTCGTTACAGCCATCAAAAAAGGACACATAATCATTACCTACTGTAAGCTCACATCTAAAGGCATGAAAAGGTTTCCTTTTTTCAACTGACCCAACCATCATACCCCAATAGTGCAAAGTTCCTTCTCTGCTGCTTTGAATGTTGACAGCCCAACCGCCTTGTTCTCAGAGTCATTTAGCAAAAATTGATTTTGTTGCACTGGAAGAATTATTCCGCTACATCTCTTTAAAAAAAAAAAAAAAAGCCCACATTTCTAAAGCACCGGTTCGGTCACCCAAATTGTAGATGTGGTACTTACCACAGCGTGAAGGCATTGGCCTGCAGTCATCTAAAAATCCTAGAGTTCTATGCTGAAATTTGCCTCCAGTGAAGATGGGGTGCATGTGTTCATTTGAAATATTCTCTCCAAAAGAAAAATTAAAAATAAAAATAAAAGGAACACAGTTTACGTTTTGATGGGCAACCCACAGGGTCTGCATAAGATACAAAAAGCTCTACTCAGTTGGGTTAGTGATTCTCTCTTTGCACTCATTTTAGATGCAATTTGAAGTCCATGGAGGAAAACTATCTTCATGGTAACAATATTTGTCAGGCCAAAGTGGGGATAAATTAATCCTCAACGTGAAATCTGTAGTGTTGTCTTTTGATAAGTAAGAAAAGAAATCAAGTATTTTACTCATGTCAACAATCCAGGGCAAAAAGGAGAATGTATTTAAAATTGGATCACAAAAATTTAAAGGCAAAGTAGAGAACGCATCTGGTCCTTGAACACATAATATGATTTACTAAATATTGATTTCTTAAAAATAATTTATTGCTCTTAATAGTCTTTTATTATTATTATTATTCTACAACAGAAGATACTCAAAATTCCAAAAGAAAGACTGTAAACTTTAGTTTGGCGTTCACACAGAGTTAAAATATCTGCATTTAACCTACAGAACAACAAGAATTAGGCGGATTAAAGATATGTTACTGCCGTAACGCAGAACCTGTGAACAAGTTCTTTTATTTCATATTTTTTTTATTGCTTTCTATCTACTTAGAAATAAGAAGCCAAAAAATCAAGCAAGCATCCGACAGGACAGACAGTGGATTCACTCAGAACACAATATGCTGGTGATAAATGAATGCAGCTATCAAAATTAGCTGCATTGGCCTGGGGGTGAAATCCATTTTATAAGATTGTGTTGGGCGAGAGAAAGGAAAAGAACAATTAAGTAGTAGGTATCGCACATCTTCCAGAAAAGTCATGTCGGCCAAACTGTAATCGAATCTCAATTTAGAAACTTGAATACACACTCCAAACTTTACTGACTTCCATTGCAGGGCTCCGCACTCAGATGCAATCCTGATGCTCAAAATGGAGGTTTTTCTGAAGTTTTTATTGAATTTAGCAGAAGCAATGTCATCAAGAACAACATCATGGTCACGTCAGAGGCCAAGCTAGTGCAAGTAGAAACACCGCTTCTGCAAAAGCTGAATTTCCCAAATGAAACATTTCAACTCCAACCTGACAATTGCCATGCATCCTAGGTAGAAAATTTCCACTGGCTTTATTATTTTCATCATCTCATAATTTATAATAAATAGGCTATCTGCAACTGATAAATATGTCTCTTTAGTAAACAAAGGAATGAATTATCAGTATTTATACAGGATGCATAACTGTAAAAAATACAGATAAATACCATCATCATACTCTGCCAAGGGAAAGAGATACTGGCTTCAAGAATAGTCTTCAGACACACATTAATTATTGTAAAAATCATACTGTAATTATTACCTCAGCATTTTGTATCAAATTAAAATCACAAAAATTAAAACGAAACAGCATTTTAAAAAGATTTCTGACCTCTAGTTTCAAAACTACTGTTGATAGAGAAAATAAAAACATTTCTTAATGGTTACCCATTGAGAGACTTTACATAAAATCATGATATCTCCTAGAAAAATTTTAGATGAGAAAATTTCATTCCCCTAACAAATCCAGTGTATAAAACTTCAAAGAAAAACAAGCAACAAGAAAATGTGGAAAAATATCGCATAAGTGGTTAATACCTTTAGGGGGCTAGGATATTTCTTGACAAGATGCTTGGATTGAAGCTCACCTAAGAAGGGATGGATGTGCGTAAAGCATCATTTTGTTGTTGCTGCACTCGACGGACACACACACTGTCTTTTTTGTTTTTACAATCAAATATATATAAGCAGTAAGTTCAGCTTCTAAATATGTTAGTGTACAATAATTGTATCACCTCATAATTACATTTGAATATTCTTGATTAAGAAAAATTTAGCAGTTTTGAAAAGAAGGCTGCATTTACAGTGCATAGCTGTAACAAAAAAGAACATCGTTGTATAGTATGTACACAAAATAAAAATACTCCATTTAACATCTGTAAATACTTCACTACATCAGAGAATGTAGCAATTACACTATCTGAACACATACCAGAGAGTTCTACCCAACTCTCATTAGTAATGTAACACCGTGCCCGCTCCTCAGAAAGAACCACCGAACGAGCTGCTCGCTTGACCATTGACAAGGCTTTTGAAATTTGCAGTGGAAGGATCAACATTTTGGACATTTACATGGGTGTCAGGATAGAGGATGAACTACAGAAACTTCAAAATGTTAGGAAAGTTTAGCATTCCGGTGCCCGCAGTATCCTCTCCCACCCAGACTCCATGGCAAAAGGAAAAAAAGAAGAAAAAGAGAGAGAGAGAGAGAGAGAAAGGAAGAGAGAGTGAAGGAGAAAAGGCGAGGGCTAAAGAGATGGGAGGGGGACAGACGGAGAGAGGGAGAAAGAGAGAGAGAGAGAGAGAAAGGATATTAGTTCTACAGAACCTGTGGTTTCTTCGGGATTGTCATATAACCATTATGTTATGAGAGAAAGCTTGCTTCAAGTCGAGTTTGCACTTTCTTAAAAAACAGAGTACGGAGGTTGATGCCCAGACATCAGTGGCTGTCATTTTAGGGTGGCTTGTGGTTGGTTGGTTTTCTTTCCTTTTGAATTTATGCATTTTTTTTTCTTTTTGAATAGAATATGAACATTTTGAAGTTCCAGGTTTTAAGTGTGTCTTCATGGAACTGCTGCCATTTGAAGTGGTTTGCCCTGGCACACTCTGGTCAGGTGCCCCCAGTCCCCACCTGTGCATACATACTTGCCCCAAAACAGGCGTGCGCATGCGCACGCACACACACACACGCACACACGCGCACACACACGCACACGCACACTCCATCACCAAGAGACTCCAGGGAAAGCAAAGCTGACACCCATGAATAAACATGTGCTTACTGGATATCCATTCTGTCTCTTGCCTCTTCAGCAGCTGTGTTCATGTAAACCATTGTTGTTGTTCTTGTTGTATTGTTGTTGTTTTGTTTTGTTTTTATACAGAGAGTGTAAAGTAGGAGAAATTCCTAAGTATGACTTGTAATAGTCAGTTAGGGAAGGACGCGCTGTCCCGTGAGGTATTCACCGTCCCTCTGTCATCTTCAGCCAGGGAACATGTTACCTGCGCAAGCTTCTCTGAGCTTCTTTCAGTAAACTATCGAAATCCAGAGAGTCATACTTGCTCTTGGTGGAAGCAGGGTCAAAGTCATCTGAGTTTGAATCTGCAAGAAACCCAAGCCAGGTTAGACACACTCTCGTCCTTAACTCAATTGTCCAATTCAAGATTACTTGATTCAATAACAACTTATCCAATCGATATACTTTTAAAAATATACCCAACTTTTATTGATATATGTATTGATATATTTTATTGGTATATATATTATATATATGTATATATTTGCAGAGGGTATTTATACCCAATATTTTATTGTTGAATTATTTATATTTATAAATTTACATATAATTATGTATAAGGCATAAAAATAAATATTTAAGAAATATATATGTTTACAGAGAGAAAGGAAGAGAGAGTATAAGATTAGATAACATGTTTACAGAGGGTAAGGGGTGGCAAGCATTCAAAGTACTACTTTTTGACTCATTTTAGTCTTAATCCTAGGAGGTAATCAGAACAAACTTTATTTCTAATCAAAATCAATATACTGTAAAAATAACCATGTCCTGCCCCCTTCCTGGTATGTTAAATGATCTACCCAAGGTTTCTCAACAACTCAAGTGGAGAGGTAAGAGTAGAAGCCGGAACTAATCTTCCTATTCAGTGGGATTGACTTCACTGAGCATAAAAGCCAGGTGAGTGGGAGGGAGAGAGAATGATCAGAACTTCACCTACTCGCCACCTGGCTGCTCTCCTTTCAGGCATGAGGAACATATGATCCACTTATCTATTCCAGTACCTTGGGAGCACCCCAGCAATAGTGGCACAAATTCACCCCAAATTAGAAGGTATAGGGAAACGCTTCATGTCCAGAGAAGGCAAGTCAGCCTCAGTAATACAAGAGGAAAAATACACAGTTATAGATAAAACCACTTGAACTAGTCCAAGTCAGCTTTTGTGAAGAGTTCCACATACTTCACATGGCCCCTTAACAAAATTGTCATGTTTCAGCAATGATGGATATAAAATGAAATTCTTATTCTAAATATTTCTGATATTTCTCCAGTGACATTCATAAAAAAGTTAAGATATTTCTGCTGGTCTTGCAAATGAGGAAAGACATCTTAGAAATATAATAGAAAACCTCTTGCAAATAAATTCATTCTTTTGAGAGCACTTACTTGAAGGGAAAACCAGTCCTTTCTGGGAAGTATTAACAATCCTACCAACAGACAAACATTTCTGTGTTTTATCCGGAATGTTACGGAACAGCAATGTCCGAAGTGACGGAAGAGTATGAGATTAGATAATATGGTGGCATACTCATTGACCTCACAAGCTGTTTGGCTGAAAAGGCTGTAATCCTTCAAGCTCTCCAGCACCAGGCTGATTTTTTGCCCTAGCTTCAAACTACTTTGGCCATCTTAGATTTAAAGACAAGGAGATTCCTTCCCTTTTTTTTTTCTTTCATTCTTACCATCCCTTGTATTTACTGACTTTTTTGCCAAGCAAGTTTTTCCAGGTAAGAAAAGCAATTACGGCTGGCCTCAGAAATAAAAGACAGGACAAAAATGGCCAACCTTTTCTAACATCTCACGTAGTCAATTCTTAAATTACACCAGCTCCCATCCTTCCCTTCACAGGTAGCCTAATGAGCAGTTGGCTTGTATCACTAAAGCTTCATGAGCAGCTATCATTCCAATCAAAATCTTTTCTTGTAGACAGACACATAGAGAAAGTCCTTCTCACTGCTTGAGATTAACCTGAAATCAGAATTCCACTTGCATTATAAATAAAGTTAGAAGAGCCTTCCAATGACCAGAGTCTGTGTGGCATGAAAGCACAGAAACGTCAAGAACACACATACAGAGATGCCTGGGTGGCTCAGTCAGTTAAGTGTCTGCCTTGGGCTCAAGTCATGATTCCGGAGTCCTGGATCCCAGATTGAGCCCCGCATCAGGCTCCCTGCTCAGCAGGGAGTCCTGCTTCTCCCTCTGTCCCTCACCCTGCTCATGCTCTCTCTCTCTCTCTCTCAAATAAATACATAAAATCTTTAAAAAAAAAAGAAAAAGAAAAAAAGAACACACATACAGATCTTTCCTTGAAGGACATTTTGAGAATATTTAAAATGTCTTAACTTTGGGTTACCCTACATCAAACCCAGAATTTCAATGTTTCCATATTTTTATTAGCAAAAAAATATATATTTGGACACAATGGTTCTCAAGAGTTTCTTCGCTATGAAATATGATAGCTGGTATTTACATGTCTGTAATCATTACACAGGCGGGCCATGTCACAAAATAGGCATCCACAACATCTTTTCTGTTGTATGAATACATGGTTACATGCAATTCCTGAGAAAACAACATCTATGCCACCCCTTTCCCGCCAATAAGGATACTGCAACACAAGTAAGATAGAATAGAATTTTGACAGGAAAAAGCCAAAAGCCACTCTAATTATTTTTTTAAATAAATTGCTATAAATAATGATACCATATAAATAGAAACATATCAGAATACAACTGTATTCTTACCACCTGGAAACTGTTGGCACAAAGCAGGTACTAAGATTAGAATTTGTTGAATGAATGTATTACTCTTGAAAACCAGCATTTTAAAACACCATGGTTGAACATCTTTGTGTTGGGATCTTGGGATGATTTACCAAAGAATGCCAAGGGTATATACAAAGTTATGTATATATTCGAGATGCTGATAATGTAATACAGTTTTTGAGTTAATAAAGAATTTGTGATGGATGTTATTTATTTCATTTTTCTTGTATATTTAAGTATAAGTTCTATACCATAACTAATTCCTGATGAATCCATGATCATATTCGTAATACTGGCCCATCCTTCTCTTCTGGTCCTAGAGTCCTGATTTAATTTGTATCTTTCGTCTTTAAGATTTCTCATTGAGGTCTTTGAGAAAGATCCATCTGTTTATAGGACAGTAAACAGACAGACTCACAGATTACAGATTCATGGAAACTAGGCTTACATACTGGCTTTACCTAGGTAACCTTGATTGTCCCTTTAACCCGGAGTCTCACTTATAAAACTGGCTCGTAATACTAACTTGGAATTATCACATTCTGTACTAATAGTGTTGTAGTAATCACTAGGTGGCCCTGATAATAGAGGAATAGGATGTGTGAGCTAACTTAATTTGGGGAGCAAAACAGGAAAAAAAATGATAGGTCTCTTTACTCTTGGTAAGATTAATCAATATCACATCATTTTCACTAACTCTCAACAGACACACATGTGAGCTCCCAACCCCTCTAAGTGTCCAGTACAATCTAATGGTCACCAAATTCACTGGTCATGCCCCAAAGCATTTAACTTGAACTCTTCAGGGACAAACACAGGACCCATATGAATGCATGTTGTTCGGTTCCAGAGCCGGCCCCTGATGTTGATGCTTTCATTTCAAAATAACTTGACATTTCTAACTGCTCATTGTCATCATCTTTAATTATAATCATAGCTACGGTTTATTGAGCACCTACTTTATGCCAGATACTGTGCCAACCACATCACAAACATTTACTGAATCTTTGCAACAACATTATGAGGTAGTTTACAAATGAAGAACTGGAGGCAGAGGGAGCTTCATTGTTTGCTCAAGGTCAGAAGCTAAGTCAGGTTTCAAAACCAGGTCTACAAGATTCCAAAGCCAGGGCTCTTTCCACTACGCCATGCCTACACTCAGCTCAACTTCCCTTCGTGAAACTGTAGGGCTTGAGGGAATTGGAAAAACCCATGCCCCTACAACACACATCAAACATACTTTTCAGAAAATACAGAGCCAGCTTAGCAACGGCAAAGTTTCTATGCTGCTGACGAGGCAGGAAGATAACAAGAGGGGAAGCATTCTTCTTAGACCTATTTCAGGGAGGCTCTGGTTCAGTTTGGAAATACCATCCAATCCTCCCTCTACCAGCGATGAATTGTGATTTAAAGGCCCCTCTCGGTAGCTTATTTTAAACTTGAGATGTTTTGAAAGACTGCAAACACCCTGGCCTTCATCACTGAAGAAAATAAGTCAAATCAACTTAAGACTTCAATCCGTCTTGACTGTTTTTATCAGCCAACATTTGAACAAATGACTTGTCACCTTTTATATTTTCATCCCTGGGCCTCTGTCTCTCTTGACAGTCGGCTGCTTCTCCCCTGTTTCATACTATCTATTTAGTTTGTGAAGTGAATTATAGCATATTCCCCCTGAACAATGCACACCACCTATATCAATTACTTTAGGAAGGCATCACTTTGGTGGAGGGGAGAAAAAAAAAAAAAAATCCCTGTATTTGGTATTCATTTCTTTCTTTATACCAAGCCAAAACAAGTGCACACAGAGATATAGTAATGCTGAGGAATAGATTTATATGTTAATTTTATGATGATTATTACGAATTGACTCAAATCAATTACATCATATGCACAAGACATTGGCCATTTTCCCTTCCTTCATTCCTTCACCAAAGGATTTAAAGGCTTACAATACGTACATTAAATAGGGAATGGCATACAAAGGGACCAAATTAAAATTGGGAAGAAAATTAAGATGTCCATTTTGGCATTATTTATAATGCCAAAAAAAAATTGAAAATTGAATAAATGTTTAGCTATAATGGAATGATTAAATGTAATAGTACTCACCTAACACAATACTGTGCAACCATTTTAAAATAAATCGATAAATTATTTTTAATCCTGTGAACATGGTAGAAAATGAACTTACATAAATAATATAAATTGAGAAGAGCTGAATTTAAAAATTGATAGATCTAAATTATGTGACCTCAACTATAAGAGATTAAACATCCTGAGACAAAACACTGGACTGTAAATCACACAGCGGATCTCTAGGTGGTGGGCTGACAGGTGACATTATTATTTTTCCTAATACTTTTTATATTTTCCAAATTTTACCCCTTGAGTCTGTATAACTTTTATAACAGGAAAAAAGAAGGCTTACAAATGCTTCAGTTTCCTTATCTATAAAAGGAGGATGATAATAATAATAATAATAACCACCTCCCAGGATTGTTCTCGTAATTAAATAAGAAAATGCTTGCAGAGCCCTTGGCACGCGCCTAGCATATGGAAACCCTCAAAAAAAAAAAAAAAAGGTGTTTTTTTTCTCCTTTTGTTTTAAAGAAAGTATAGTGTGATTTAGCATATGAAATTATATTTTCTCCTCTCAAGGTGTAATTTGTAGAATATGTCTTAACAGTTTTAAGAGTTTGTAGAATAATAAGGAAAAAAAGAGCCAGAATATTCTGGTGCATATTCTGTTCCATAAGACCACGATGATAATGCTAAAGTTTATACAGAAGGATTCAGGGCAGGCACAGAATGCAATAGCACATTGCAAATCTAGGCAAAGACATGCACACACATATGCACGTGCAACATAAACACACGCCAGCACACACACACACACACACAAACAGTGCAGACTTTCAGCATTTGGGAAGACAGTATAAAGAATTCACTTCTGCTCTTTGCTGCCAAAACCTGAGCCCTTTGCTTCTGAAACTGTCTTGTACCTTAAAAAAAATTAAAAATAAGATAAAATCTGTATTCAAACATTCCCTCTAGCAAAATAAAGCAATGGTCCAACTCAATATGCCTATGGCTTACATCTGCTTCCATTTTGAGCCCTCCATTATGGATTCCTCATCCCACGTACAATAAAATCCATACCTAGGTCTGCATAGTTAGACTTGAAAAATTGCTTGCGTCCACAAAAGTACAGCTCGAAGTCAGTTTCATTCGACCTGCGCAAAGTGTATCCATTTTCAAGAGCAGCAAAAGCATCACAGGTATAACGGTAGGTAATGAAACCATAGCTGTCTCTGCAATGGACAGAGAAGAGAGGTTCAAAGCTGGTGAGGAAGCATTAACATATACGCCTGTAACCCTTCCTACTTTGGAAGACTTCGCTGGTGCCAACGTCTGAACCACTGCATCCATTTATCAGTGTGATTGTCCTGTCAAGCAGCTAAATACTTATTTCTGGGACAGGAAATCTCAACTAGAAAGATTAATAAATAGGGATAAAAGAAAATAAATAAGGTTCTGAACTCAACATGTCATCTGTCAAAGCATTCCCATCCTAGTAATCTTATGGCCATGATTTTTTACATATGTCAGCTTCTAAACAAGAAATAATCTTGAAGATTCTTACCCATCATCCCGCAGATTTACTGTGCACTCCTCAATTTCACCAAAAACTTCAAAACGGTCCCTCAGTTCCGTCCGTGTCGTGTCGGGTCTGATTTTACCAACATAAATCACACGGCGTTCTTCCTGGGGAGGGGGTGGGAGTAAGGAGAGACTTTTGCCAGTTCTGGAGATAGGAAGGAAGTTGCCCCTCTAGAAACACTCCTAAATGTACAGTCATGCATACCGAGAACCACCGAGCATGCTGGTTAAAGCAAAATACCCACTAAAACTGAATGAAAAGATGACAAGTGACCCACGTTTTAGCGTCCATTTCTCTGTAATCTGCATTCACTCTTCCTTCCACATGCCCTACTCTGCTGCTCACTCTCTTCTGCTTTTGCTCCCCAGCTCTGTGCTTCTCTCTCCTGAGCTTCGACATACTCCAAAAGAAATACGGGTAATGCGATCTGTTTATCACTGGACAGCTAAATGATCCCTATTAAATGCTGTAACCCTTGTGACTTGATTCTTAATCTTCACAATTGGTAAGAAACTGACCCGTCTCGCAAAACTGTTTAATTTCTCATTTTACTCAGGATTCTCTTAATGAGATGTACAAATTTTGACATTCCTCAAAACAACGATTCTAAACTCTAGTATAAACTAAAATTACCTGGAGTGGTTATTAAAAATGCAAATTATTGGGGTTTATCCCAGCAGTATTAAAAAAAATTGGAAAAGACAATTCAATGGTCTTCATTTTTAATAAGCACACCCTAGTGATTCCGATGCAGGTGGTCCAAAGACAATAATTTGAAAAATACAGTCTTAAAATGTAGGCTATTTTAAGCCATGGGTCTCTGAAGAATAAGAGCTATAAAAGAGGCTATAAATTTCACTTTGCCAGTAAATCTTATTTTAGGAACAGACTAGAAGGGTGTGGCCTAATTTTCACAAATGGAGTCAATATCATCATAATCTGAAAGTTATCAGCAATTTATAACCTACAAAATATGGAAATCATATCTTATAGCCTAAGGATGGACTCCTTTTTCACAAAATAGTAAAAAACCCTTCTTAGTATAAGAAGCAATCCTCTATCAGTTGTTCTAAGAAGACAAGGCCAAAGGTGATGATGTCTCTCAAAACTGAGGGAAGGTTTTTCAAGAACGCATGGAGTTAATATAAAGAACATGCTTACCAACTCATCTCTACGCCTACTAAGAACAAACAAGAATGAAGTGAACTTAGGGTTGCCGAGGTTTCAGTTAGATGGGAGCAGAGACTAGAAAACACAGGACTAAGGCATAGATTCAGCTTGCCCAAGAGTTTTCCCTGGATGTACTGAGAGTATCCTGCCTTGGATGATGGGAAGAGTAATTTGGGCTTATGGCAAGGAGATGCCCTACGTTATTTCCCGAACACCTTTCCTTTTCATATGCCCAATATTTAGCAAAGGGCCTGGCAAAGAGAATTCAGTAAGCACTTGTGAAATATAACTAAGCAATCCACAGATCTATAATATATACTCTCCTGTGTGATCTGATCATCCATGCTTCATCTTCTTTTACCGTATGCAACACTCATATTTCTGTTTTCATCAGAGAAGTTCCTCTGAGCCTCAGACTCAAATCGCCAACTGTCTACTTGACATCTCAGGCTGGATGTCCTCTGAGCACTTCAAACTAGAACAACATTCCCAAAACCCAGCTCTCCAGTACCCCCGTCTCCCCTGTGGGTCTTTCTCCAATGTTCTGTGTTAGTCAAGTTAATGACACCTAGCCAGGTATTCAGAACAAAAACCTGAGTGCCTTCCTTGTTTCTTCTCTCTCAGTCCCCTCTACACATCCAATCACTCATTAAACCCTGTTGATTTTTACCTCCTACATATCTCTCTCTCTGCTCTGTCTCTCTTATTACATCTCCCCTAACCCAAACTGCCAGCATCTCTTTCTGGACTAGCATAACAGCCTCTTAACTTGGATCCTCTGTCTATATTTACCCTTCTCTAGTCTATTCCTTCAATTCAATCAGAATAATCTTTGCTAAGGGAACAGGAATCTGATCATGTCAGTTACTGTCTAAAACATATCAGTGGCCTCAAAACTTTCAAGGGAAGACCTAAATCATTAACAGGACCCACCAGGCCCTGCGTGGTCTGGACCTGCCTCCATCATGGGCTTCAGCTCCCACTTCCCATTCTTCCCTTTGTTTTCCAGTCACGTTGAGCTTCTATTAGTCCCTCATATATACTGTGCTCCTTTCCTTTTCCAAGGCCTTTGCACCAGCTGTCCCCTTGCTACTTGTAAGATCCTCCCCACATTGCCTCTCCTTCCTCTTCACCAACATACACGTACTGTCTAAAATTACATTGAATTCAACAATCATTTCCTTCTGAGACTTGAGATGCGGTCCGGCTTCCTATTAGTTGTTCTTACAGTACACTATTTCTCCTTTATAGTTCTCTGCCCAGTTGTAATTAAATAGTTAATAGCTAATTCATCATTTAATATCCATCTCCCTCTACAATGAAAGTTTCATGAAAGCAGAAACCACATCTGTCCTCTTGACTACTGTATTTTTAGGGTACTTGAAACATACCAGAGTGTCAATGAATATTTGTTGAAAAATCAATCAATCAGCAATCAATTAAACATTTTTAACACTTACCCTTATGCCTACATGTAATCCTTACTCTCTGAGACTCTCTAAGAGAATGAAGAGTGAAAGCCAGGTTTGCTGCTTAATCACAGGGAAAACCCTGCCCAGGTAGCTCAGCTGAGTGAATTGACAAAGATTTCCATGATTTGTTTTTACAGGTTTAAGTGGAAGAAGAATGGAGTAACTACATGTTTGCAGTGCTCTCACTCTTACAGATCACTTCTGAAAATCAGAGGTGGGCTTCCACTGAAACACTCAGTAAAACACAATTCCTCTGACACCAGCCATCAGGCCTAAAAAATTGACCAGGTGAAGTAGGGCCAACAGAGTTGACTGCCTGATTCACTTCCATGTAGATTGTATGTCATCTCAATCAAAGGCTGCAATTGTGTTGTTCCAGAGCACCCAGCACATCCTGGAGATCAATAAATATAAATGGATGGCGAGGCTCATCCTGGGGCAGTGTTATACAGTGTTGTAAGGGAGTCATAACACCACATTCCATTCTATTTACGCAGCCAGCTCCAGCCAAACAGCCAAATGGGATGGGACTGTTATCTAAACTTTCTGGCGCCTGCTTGCATGGGTGTTATGGTTTTTTAGTTTTATTTTTTTTTTTTAATGGGCCTTTTTAGGAAGGTTACTACTGTATAAAGAAAAAGGAGAGGGAAATGCAGAAGAGAGAGAAAGAAATTGAACCATCACAAAGAAATTGCTCAACTACCATTATGGGAATACACACAGCCTACGTATTCAAGGAAATTTGAAGTTAAAGCTAAAATCGACCATATGCACGTCCATATGCAGACATATTGGGACAGTCTCTGAATTGCTTCTTTATACAAAACTGTATGCAACAATGATCCTACAAAGAAGATAAACCAGAGGACCTTTTCGGATACTGATACATTCTGCAGTAAAAAGAAGACACAATCTAGATGGGAAAAACAGAAACCCCAAAGGCTGGTGCACAATCACATAAACTACCTATTTGTCTATCATCTCCTTTTATGAAACACAGGAATGGAACCACGTCTTGCTTCCTTACAAAGACCAGAGATTGAATACATGCTGAAATTCTCATTTTAGAAAATGATTAGAGTGCTTGGTTTTCCTAGTGCTAAAAATGAAACTAAAAGGCATCTGAAGGTCTAAAAGCAAAGACAAAAATCTTTCAAAGATTGGCCAAAATGTCTAGCAAGGAACCGATTATTTTTAACATGTTGCAGTTTTATTAGACAGATGAATAGATTCCATATCTTTAAAAAACCTTAACATTTGCAGCCAATTTTTCAAGACATTAATTTCTAAACAGGAGATGAAAGGAAAAGAAATCAAAATGCTTAATAACATTTTCAACTTCTTAAAGGCTTGGAGGAACTCTAAACCTTTGGAAAAAGCTCCTTGAAAAATGATTTTCAGACCAGTTTTCACTATTGAGGAGGATGGAACATTCATCAAATATCTTTTAGCTTCAATTTTCACAAAAGCTAGTTTGCTGATGGGGTGGATAACAAACTTGAAGATTTATAGTGCATTAACAGGTATAGTAAATCATCATTACATCAAAATACAGGGGGATAAATAAAGAAAAAAACGAACTGAAATTAACTGACTTTGCATTATCAAAATCCTTATCAAAAAGAGAACAGAGCCTCCCAGTTACCTGGGAAAAACATACAATGGTTGTTTCTCATCAACTAATAAGCTAGTCTTGGTAAAAGGGCTGTAACTAAGAGAAAGGGAATTTAGTAGGGAGATTAACATTTACTGAATTCTAATATATGCCAAGTAGTGTGCTTGATGCTTCTGTATGGATGATCTCCCTAAAAGGCTCACAATGCTAGGTGACAACAAGGAACAACCTGATGTAATTTAGATTTTGGTTCTCAGAACTTTTATTCTACATTTCCAAGTCAGGATAATGTAAAAATTCTTTCTCCTATGCTAAGGAAACTGCATGTCACCTTTAGCCGTGAAAGATGTATATTCATTTCCAGATTAGCTACCAACGTGACTTCCTCAGAAATTCCAAAGAAATTCCAAATACTGTATGTGAGATGAATGGATAAAATCTGTGCCATTTGAGGCTGAATGGTATAGCGAGATCCTCCATCTGAAAGATAAAGTGAGAGGGGCGGATGGTTGTGAAAAGGCATGTATGGACAGAAGGAAAGGCCAAAACCTTCACAAAAATGTCAAAAAATGTGGGGTTTTTTTTTCCCTCTCTTTCTCTTAGTATTGATTACACTATCTAATTCAGTAGGCATTCAGTAAGTGCCTACTACTAGCACTCTTAGTGGAGAAACAAAGCGACAGCACTCAGTTTTCCAAAGTTACTTGCCTCCAAGTACGACCCAAGAATACTCTTCCTTAGAGTCTAAGGCTGGGTCAGTGTGAATAAATCCAGGGTACCCCACTTAGAGATAACTGCAAGGAAACACACTGTCTGTCAAAAGACAGAAAACACAGAAACTACAGAC